GTTTTTTCAAAATAATATATGTTTTTTAAATTTTATAGAGTGATGTTTTTGCAAGCTTGAGGGGCTACAAGAAAATTTTTACCCAAAATGACGATTTCAAGGAAATTCTTTGAACATGTTTCAAGCTTGTCAGACCATTTTGCTTGCAACCTCCGTGACACTAATTAATCTTATTCACTTGTGAACAGGTATGTAAATTACACATAACCAGGGTGGCATACACTTAGGTGCCTGTGTGTGTTGCGAGTTGAGTATAAATGGTGGCATGCACTTTGGGCTCACAACAAACTACTTAGAGAAATTGTATGGTTGTGAATTGAGTAACGATGTGTGTTGCGAGTTTATGTAATGTGCAAACAAAAACTTTAATCTTTTACTTTAAAATTATAAAATCTAAACTTGCGATATTATTTTGTATTTATTTATATTACTACATCTAAATAATCTTATCACACAATTTGGTTGGCATGAATAACCTTATCGCACAATTTTAATCTTCAAAAGGCCCATAAGAATACTATAGTTTCTCCAAATATTTGTCTTGCCTAATAGTTGTTATAATGGCAAAAAGGAAAGGGATACTTACCGGTCAGTCTTATTAACAAGACTTATTTACTTATAAATCTTGACTGATAAATTTATCATTATAAATTTATTTATTAATATCCACTATCCTTATTCATATCTACTTACTCACAAGAATCCAACATCCTCTTTAATATACATAACGAACAAGAGAGATTGATAAATTTGTCACTAAAAAATAAATCTAAATCTAAAACAAAGGAGATAGTGGTGATATGGTAGTTGTGTAGATTGATGACGGTGGAGTATAGATCTATAATGATAAGGTGTAGATCGATAATGATATAGAACTGCGATAATAGTGGTGGATATGCACCAGTAGAGATGGAGGTGGAGGTAGTGGGTGGACAACAAAGACGTATGGTGGTTGTGGGTAGATGACAACGACAACGGTAGCAGATGAACGACAACAGTGATGGTGGTGGTAAATAATGATGGAGTGAAACTTTTAAAAAAATGATAGAGAAACAGAGAGATAAAAGAGAAAGAAAAAGAGGAAGAGAAAGAGAGAGAAAATAAGAGAAGAGAAGATGAAAGAATTTGATTGATAAATTCCACTTAGTGAGACTAATTTGATAATTAACCCAAAAAGTAAATCACAAATCAAAAGGGACCATCAACTATATATAACTCTCTGTATTTATTCTTATCCACAATTTCTTGCCCACATTGTACTACACTTTTAACAAATGAGAGAGATCCCTTCCGGTCAAAAAATTGGATCGGAGGGAGTTATTTGGCCCCGTGGGCCTATTACTAGTTTCATTTTGATAATTTAAATTATTTATTTTATCTGATATTTCATGTATTTTATTTACAAAAATTTATTCGATTTAATAACTGTAACTTGTTTAATTTATTACGTTTTTTATCAAAAAAAAATAGATGACAATTGTATTTTTAAAAATAAATAATTTTTTTTTGATAAACGCAATAAATTGAATAAATTACCTTTTATCATATCGACCTAATTTTTTTTTTTGTAAATGAAATTCATGACATGACCAACAAAATAAATGGTTCAAATTATTAAAATGAGACAATTGTAAACCCCACAGGCACAAACATCGTCCTCCAGTCCATATTTTGGATTGGAGGAATCCTCCTCCTTTAACAAATATACATACATATCACAATTTCTAAATCTCAAGTAATTATGCTTCATTTGTTTTGGATGAACACATTTTTTACGAAATATTTTTTAGAGGTGTTTTTCAAAAAAAAAAAAATGTTTTCCATACTTATAATTGGTTGTGTTCTTGAAATTAATATATTAATATTAGTTTTAATGATGGCAATGTGATTGTGGAGGCAGCAATAATAGTAGTGAAAGTATGGTGACTTTGATACAATTTTAATTGGGATGATACTATAACATATATCTAATGTCACATCATTAGAATTTTTTTTAAAAATTTAAAATTAAAACTCTGTATTATTATTGTTCTTTCACAGGAATATTGTCGCAGGAAATTTGCATTTTCCCAGTTATATGACATGATGCCACGTGGTCCTCCTTGAGAAACATCTTCGAAAGTGGCTACACACAATTTATTTAAGATAATATTTTTTATTTATTATTTTAGAGTCAATTTCATAAAAATATATAATAGGGTATAATTTTTATAAATTGGAGAAATGGAATTAAGTTAAATTAAATATTTTTATGATTGTTTAATTTCATTAAAATTTTATTTTTTATTTTTTATTTTTTTTAAAAATTTTGCCATATATTAGCCGGGCTGATTTACCTCGGCTGAAAGAGTTGGTGAGTTGCCCAACTGAAATATTTTAGCCGAGATGATTTATCCCGGCCGAAAGAGTTAGTGATTTGCCCAACTTAAGTATTTTAGACGAGATACTCTTCTCAACTTTATTGGAGATAATGCGGTTAAAAGGAAAACTACAGCAGACATTGCATTGCAAGAGTGTGAAATGACAACTTTTCATTAAAAGGAAAATTTGGTACATAAGGTGGGGCAGACAGCCCGGCTACATTCTCAAAAAAAAAAAAAGAATTAAACTAAGGGGGAAAGGTCAGTGAAGTCGTCCCCGGTTGCAACTGCCTCCAGGTTGACCATAGTTGTGGTTTCTTGGACGCCGGACTCCACCAAGCCGGCCTGCTTTGGGCGGTTTTCTCCCTCTGCATTTTCCTCGGCTTCGTCCCCGCCTTCTTCCTCGGCCTCAGCCTACAATGCACTGAAGACATCGTTGGCGTATGGCACCATGTACGTTGGCAGAAAGGCGGATGGGAGAGAGGCAAACACGTCGGTTCCAGACCCTTGGCCAAGCTGTTCGCAAGCAGCCTTCCAACCGGACTTGAAGAATATGTCTTTGGTGGCCTCGACTTGCTTGGTGTAGCTTTCTTCGGCCTCCTTGAAACCTTCGTTGTTTGTCTCGTCCACTTCATCCTTCATTGATTGCTTTAACGCTTCCAGCTCGGCCCGGAGAGCGTCGCTTTCTTTCTCAGCGGCTCCCAATTGGCCGAGTAGTTTGGAGTTGTTTGTGTTTGCAATCTCCAAAGAAGCCTTTGACCGCCCTAGCTCGGTCTGCAGGTGTTCGATCTGGCTAGCGGCGTCGGTCGCCTTTTGACGGAGTCTGTGAATCCGTTCCATCACCAGATATTGTTTCTGGATGGCCTGCAAGAAGAGATTTTGAATAAAGAAAGCCAACCGTGTAAACACTTGGAAAAATTTGAATAAAGCATGCGAGATTCTTACCCGGGTCATAGACTTGACTGAGGACTTCACGAGCCGGGTGTCGGGCACGTGGTCGCTGCCAGTCACGTCGCTTGGCAGAAGGAGGGCTTTGGTCAAATCGAAGGCTAGGAGGTCTTCCTTGTCGCCTTTGACTGAAGCGTTTGCCGAGATCTCCTTACCCCGGTGCTTCAACTGGGGCTTCCAGGGCGGTGTTGGCTCAGATGGGACCGCGGGTTGCTCGGTGTTCAGCTCCGCAACGAGCTCGGCTGTGGGGTCGGCGGTCCGAGGCCTTTTCCCGGCTTGGCGGCTGTCCTTGCTCTGCTGTGCTACAGCAGTTGACACCAAAGCAACCACCGCCCCAGTTGTTTGAGGCCTTTTCCCGGCTTAGCGGTTGTCCTTGCTCTTCTGCGCTGCAGCAGTTGACGCTAAAGCAACCACCGCCCCAGTTGTTTGACCAGCAGCAGTTGCATGTGAAGGGATGCTCGGTAGCTCGGTGGATGTGGCGGTGATGAGGGTCTTGATACGGCTTCGTTTGTCAAGCCCTAAGAAATAATTAAGAGTTCCAAGATCCTTCATCTCAAACTGACGATTAAGAAATTGTTTAAGGTTAAGAATACGAGCTACATCATCACCGGTGATAATCGTATCATCCACGTAAAAAAGAAGAAGAGTGGTGCCAATAAGAGTGGTCCGAACAAATAAAGCGGAGTCATATGAGCTGGAAGTGATATCGAAGTCATGGATGGTGGAACTAAATTTAGTAAACCAAGCTCGTGGGGCTTGCTTGAGACCATAGAGAGCACACTGTAGTTTGCAAACCTTATGAGCCGAATAAGCAGACCCAGGAGGAGGTTGCATGTAGACTCTCTCAAGAACATCACTAACGAGGAAGGCATTTTTGACATCCATCTGAAAGAGATCCTAGTGGCGAGCAGCAGCAACAGCAAGTAAACTACGCATAGAGGTAAGCCGAGCAACAAGAGCGAAAGCCTCATCATAATCAATGCCATATTCCTGGATGAAGCTCTTTGCAACAAGACGGGCTTTGTAGCGCTCAATAGAGCCATCAGAATAGGTCTTGATTTTGTATACCGTTTGCAACCAATCACAGTCTTTCCAAGAGGAAGATTAATAACATCCCAAGTATGAGTTTTGTCTAAAGCCTGGAGTTCAGCAGTCATAGCTTGCTGCCAAAGAGGATTAGTACAAGCTTCACAATAAGAGATAGGTTCATAAGTAGAAACGATAGTAGACCCGACAATATAATCATGAAGATGTACAGGTGGTTAAGTTACCCAATGTGGACGACCGGTGGGTGGAGGATCTGGTAGGGTGATAGGAGATGCAACGGGACCATTCCAACCTTCATAGCCACCACCTTTAAGAGCATCTCTAACAATGAATCATTTACTTCACCAAATTTGAGTAAAAACTCCATCTAATATCCACCACTCCAACGGAGCAATTTTGGCTGTCATTAACAAAAGGTTGACTGGGGGGACGACCGGTCGGATGTTCGATCAGTTGACCGGCAAGGGCAATCCACCAGTTCTGAAAATTATTTTTCCCTCCATTTTTGTTTCCCTCAATTCCTTTGCTATTTCTTTTTCCCTCCATTAAATCTTTTCCATTTCTTTTTGCCTCAATTAATTATTTCCTTCAAAAAACAAATATAAACAGATTAACCCATGTACTATATAAACCAAACAAATAATGTTGTATTTGGAACCAACCATAACTAAAAAACCCAGATCCAAATTAGAGAAATCAATTCAATGGAACTGATAATAATTACAAAAGTTGAATAGCTTCAGAAATCTCATCATTTTCACTACAACACATCAAGAATGAACAATAAAGGACATGGTGGTTCAGATCAAGGAAACAACCCAATTCATTAAATTTGGAGATGTGAAGAAACTTGAGGGAAGGAGGAGCTTTAGGCCCAAATGCTGTCGTCATGACCGATGATGGCGGCGGTGGAGAGGTAGTTGCCTTTGATTTCGCACATCAAGTGATCATCCACATATGCTTGCCACACTGTATTTTCGTTCTTCTTCGATTCGATGCTGGATTTTTGGGATTAGAAAAGCAAACTGTGCAGCTGTGAATTGAAGAAGTATATGTGACTTCTAGTTGAGGCTGCGTTGAAAATAAGCTAGCTCTGGGAATTGCAAGCCAGTTTGCAGTCCAAACCATGGCTGTGTTCTGGGAATTGTTCAGTTAGCCGGATGACTGGGGGACAACTGGCCGGTCGTCCGGTGGGCCCTTTTACGAATAGTAGCATCTGAATCCTGAAAAATGAATAAGAAAAGGTATGAGCTTCTTGGTTTACCCATAAGAAGATATGCATCCTGTTAATAAGAATACACCAGAGAGAGACAACATATATGCATCAAATTTACAGCCCGAACTCCACATTGGATATCGCTTAAAATCATTAGTTTAACCTTTTTGATTTCTAATGAAATAGCATATAAACAAATGCCAAAATGTTTGCTAAGTTAATGAATTCCCAAAAGCTAAAGTTGTATATCAAGCTATCCAGCACACCACTCACATGCAACCCCAGCTTGCATGTGGAGAAGAGAACAAACTGAACTGAATAGAGTGCATGATAATAAAATAAAAAAATAAAAAAATTCATGAGACTAGAGCCCAAGGCCTCTTAGAATCAAAACTTTGATAGGATGTTAAAGACCAAAGAGAGAAAAGAAGATGAGGAGAAGTGTATGTAGTACCCTAGGCATTACCCCTTTTTTTTTTTTTTTTTTTAATTTTGATCTACAAAAGTCAATTGTTAGTTGTTAGATTAGCTCCTAGGGGGAGTTGAATCCCCAACCTCTCCCTTGCAAGCACCTAAGTGTTGCCTCCATGCCACAAGGCCATGAGCCCCATTTCATGGTATTTGAGTGTTTACATTTTTCTTTATATTTCGTAGGTCCATCCCTGCTTCATTGTCAATGTAATTATCTGTTTATGGGTTGACACGAGGTGTTGTATGAAGATATCCCCAAGTAAATGCAGAAGGAATTTTATTGGTAAAATTTAAATTTTCTTAGTTACTAAATGATTATGTTAATCATGTTTAATCAAAAATTAATTAAGGAATTGAATATATTTAAGTGTAGGTCCCACTAAGTTTAGATATTGTTTGGTTTCAACTTCCACCATAAATTAATATTAATTGTGTGTGTAAATTTGTAGTCTTCCCAAACGCGGCATAAGAAGTGATGAGACAAGATTAAAGCCTCGTTTGGCAAGTGGCTTTTTTAGTTAAAGAGTCAAAAAGTTACTAAAAAAATAAAAAAGTTAACAACCCATACCAAAAAGTCAAAGATTCTCTTTTATCTTTACTTTTTGCATATCTTTTCATAAAAAGTTAAAAAGTCATCCCAAACATACTAATTTTTTTTACATCACATTTTAGCCAAAAAGTCAAAAAATTACTAAAAAAATCTGCTCCCAAACGAGGCCTAAGTCACTTAATGAAGCAATCCGTTAAACCTTAACGACTTGGATTAAGCTTCATGGATAAGGTCAAACCACAAGAAGACGCCTCATGCTTGGTAGAGTCAGTGGAAAAATCCAACATCCACCATCCACACCTCCTTGCTTGAATTCCTCATGCTTGGATTGTAAAGAAAAAGGCATCCCCACACACCACCGGCAGTGGCTAGAGGCCACCGGCTGGTTTTTGCTTCCATCGGCAATGTATATTGCCGGCCGGCACCTTTTGGTGCTGGTCGGCACTTTTTAGTGCCGGTCGGCACTCTTTTTGGCCAAAATGGCATTTTTGGCCAGCCGACTACTGTGCATCTGCTTTTGCTGATATTTTAAGACAACTGTCTTGCTTTTTGCTCCCCTCCACCACCATAGGTTTAAGACAGCTGTCTTGGAAGCTTGTCTTGTAAGCTTTACAAGACAAAAGCTTCTATAAAGAGAGGGGCTCTCTCTTGTTGGAGAGGTTAGACACTTGGAACACTTGAGAGAGCTTAGACAGCCATTGTTAGGGCTTGAGTTCTAGGGTTAGGGTTTGATACACCTTATCTCTCTCTTTTTCCCTCTTGTGTGTGTTTTAGTGTGCTTAGTCCATACTATTGCACACAAACACCTAGTGTTTCACCTTCCTTTGGCTCCTGAGGTTCTAAGGGACTGATTTTGGTGTTTTGGTGTTGGATTCAAGCCAAGGAGGGTTGTTGGAGCACCATTGTTGAAGAGGTCTTCAAGGGTAAGAATCTTACCCCTTTTTACCCCATTTTTGCATCTTGTTTTCACCTATCTTAAAATCGTTTTTGAGTTTAGTGTATAATACAAAAAAGTTCTGTTTTTAGGCCCTCTTGATTGTTTATTAAGGGTGTTTTGTGGTTTGGAGGTGTTTGATCCCTTTTAGGCCTTGTAAGGCCTCATTTTGTGCTATTTTGTGCAAGTTTCGAGACTTTGGTGTTTGGGCCTCTTCACCACTAAAATCTTGAGGGATTTCAGTGGTGAAGATGGTGCCTTGAAGTCTCCAAAAGGGGAGGGCCACCCCCTTCCCTTGTTGTCCTTGAAATGGACCATTTTTGGCCTCTTGAGAGAGCATCATGTTAGAGTGTGTATTGATCATGCCTTGGCTGTTTTTTGTGCCTATTATATCATGATATACCTCTGTTTATTGTTGATTTTGGTACACCATGCATGCTTAGCATACCTACCATGTAATGCCATGTTTATGCCTTAATATGCCTTAGGTTGTTAGCCTTTGTTCAAGCATGTTTTAGGCTTAGCCTTGTGAAGGTTTTGTGCTCATTTTGCCATGTTTTAGCTCTGTCCATAGTTGTTTGGGTCAGATTTGGCATGCTTAGTATAGCCCCTTTGCATCCCGGCTTGTTGGCCTTAAGTGTATGAATGTATAGCATGACATCTTTGCATTGATTTGGTGATTTGGAACCATCCATCATGTCATTTCAGTCCCATTTTCATGCCTATATGTTTACATTGGATGCATCGTTAATACTTTAAAAGCTTGTGTAATATGCTCCATGTTTTGGCCATTGCGTATGCCTTTGAATTTGAGCCACTTAGATGCCATCTAGGAGGTCCCCTTTGCATGGTCTAGGTCTGCCTTGAACTTATTTTAAGCCCCCTTGGCCTTGTGAGGTTTGGCTGGCTTGGCCATGGTTCAAGCCCCTTTGACTTGCTTCAAGCACTTAGGCCATTTGTTGCATGTTTGGCTTGATTTGTTACTTGGTTTGGCTCCATGTTTTAACATGATTTTCAATGCTTATGTCGCATGCTATATGTCCATGACTACCTTCTTTCAAATGTGTTTGAGAGTTGTTCAATTTGTGCCTAAGTGTTGGCCTTTCAACATGTGTATGTGTGCATGTGTATTTGGTCCCTCATTATAGCACTTTGGCCCTTGTTTTAGGCCTTATTAGAGCTGCCTAAACCATACCTAAGTCCATCTTGACATTGATTGGCATTGCCTCATGTTTTCTTGTATGCTTGCATAAATGTCTTGCCATGCCATGTTGCATCCTTAGCTTGCATGCCTAGGTTGCATTGCATCTTGCATGCATGCCTTGTTCCTTGACTTAGTGATAGGAATTGGGCCTTGTTTGATTTGATTGGTTTGCATGCATTTGAAATCAAAGTTGCATACTTGGTTCTTTGGGCCATCATGCATGGAAATGCGTGATTGGTGGTCCGAGAATCGAGGCACATGCCCCTTTGAGTCATTATCATGACGAGGGACATGGTTGGTGCGTATATGCCTTGAATTGTGCTGCCATGCTTTGCCTTGCCCTCTGTTGCTGTTCTGTATCTGTTCTGCAGGAATACTCTGCCGACCGAC